ACCTGTTCTCGAGAATGGTCAGACGTCTCTGTCGGCTGTTCGCGGCCCCGAACGGGCAGGTCAGGAAGCATTGCCAGTTGCCGCCCAAACAAAGCATTACATGGAGACACCCCATTGCAAAAGGCGAATGCGTTGGCGGCAAACAGGGCTTAGCGCAGTAGTCGTGCGAACACAAGAGGTATGTCTAACCTTTTGAGTTCAGTTTCCACGACGTGAAGTAGATGGCGCAAAAAGCAATTTCTGGTTCCAAGTGTCGCAGCGCGTTGCCCACGCGCGCGCGTCCTCAGCTCGGCGCCTTCTGCCTTGAGGACCGCCTTTGCAATGTCGCCATTGGCGGCGCCCTCCCCGTCGGAGAAGAGCGCCTTAGCAGGTCCAAACTGCATCCAGCACTGATGATATGCGTCTAAAATACAGGTCATTGTTTGATCTCGTGTTTCCACTCCAGTAGCATATAGGATACAACGACCAATGCTGTTGCATATCTTAAGTTCATGGTTGTAGAACATAAGGTCGCATTCGACTTCTTCGTTCAACTTGCCAGGTGGCGCAGTGGATGGCACGGCGGCATGCCCCGGCTGATCCCAAGCCCTGCGCCCCCGAAATGCGTCACAAACGCCTTAGATCAGGTTGAGCCAGACGCTGTCCAGACCAGCTTTGGTGAAGATGAGTCTCATCTTAGGCTCTTTAGCATGGAACCATCGCAGGTGTAGTTTCTGCAACTCGCGTGTTACCGCGCTTGGGTCAAGGCTGCGTAAGTTTTGTAGGCCGATCTGGACATCGAACCTCGACCAGTCTGGGAGTCGTGGGCGCGCAGCAGGGTTACCCGCGGGTGGTGGTGGAGGTGGATCTCCCCCCTGCTGTCGGCCACGTCTGGCTCTGATCTGTGGCAGTCGTCTATGATCGCCCGAGCTACCAGCTCCACTCGAGGCAGGTTGCCCTGCAGCTGGTGCAGCAGCATGTCTGCCTACTGCAATGTCGTGGCAGCTGGCACCAGCTGTGGGGCCAGCCCTGGAGCCAGGTTTTGGTGCTCGTAGCCGCACAAGTGGTGGTGCGGCCTGTGCGTCGGGCGGTGGTGCTGCCGTCTCGGCAGGAGCCTGCAATGCCTGTCCGCGGCTTTAGGGCGGCTTCCAAGGTTTGGCAAACTTGAATTTGCCAGGTGTCCGTAGGTGGCCGGGCTTATTATGGCCGTAGTTCTTCTTGCAACTGAGACATTCCCAGTGGCAATCATCCTTGTCGCACCACCTGCAATGCTTAGGGCCTCTGTCATGTGAAGGGGAATGCATTTGCATCTTATCTGCACATGCTGGACATCCAAATCCTCCCGAGGGCGGCCCTTTGATCGACCCGTCGGGTCGTCGAGGGATAGTTGGGCCATCCAAGCTAAATCCCCGCGCATTGGCAACGAGAACGGTGGGGTAAGACGGGCGACAATAGAATGGATCGCTGTTTACTTGGAATAGATCGCGCGCGATCTGAACTGCGCCAACGAAAAGGGGCTACAACTTCAAAGTGCGTCAACGAAAAAAAGCTACAACTTCAAAGTGCACTGCGCAGCCAGGGATAATCCGCGATTGCACACCGAGGCGTGGCGACGATGGCCAGCGCGCCGCTTCCGTTCGAAAGGTGCAAGTAAGAGACGGCGGTTGGCCATTATCTCGGTAGGTTGCCGCGTCAATACCACGTGGGAGTCACGTGGGCCAGTGGTGCATTGATCCATGTCTACTTTGAAAGTGCCCATGCATTTGGCAAATGTTGTCCATGGCGGTATGTGTTCCACCAAGTACCCGCACTGGTTGTTCCCGTAAATGCAGCCGTCGGAGATCATTTTGACGCACGGCAACTCTCCCACAGAACTTGATATGTGGAAGGTCCTCTTTATGGTGTTCATGCCACGTGTCATGGTTGACTTGGGACTTGAAATAAGAAGGTAGCCCAGTCGTTCTGCAAGCAGGTTCTAATATAGCAACATGGACGAAACACGCGTCGAACTAATGCATCACCGCGCCCTGGACGCCCTTGTTTCCAATGTCAAAATATGAACGTTTGTCCAGGCTTCCCCCCGATGGCAAACCCCGGCTGAATGCCAGCTGCGACATTCCCCCGTTTCCCCCACGCAGTTCCAACGCGTCGACCTTGTTGTGTCGTCCGTAACACGGGGTCGGGATAATGAGGGGCGCGTCGGCATGTGCATCCTCAGGCAGCCCCGCGGGCAACGCGATGAAGGTTTCTTCTTCGCCATCACCCTCAGTGTCGGAGTCAAGGGGAACGTCGATGTAGTAAGCGCCACGTCCGAAACATTTTAGGTCGTCGCCGCAGTCGCCATTACCTTCCTCGGCAACTTCGGGAATCTTGCGTGGCTCGATGCCCGCTTCTTCGTCGGCGTTATGCTGTCCTTTTGTTTAATCCGGGAATCTGTCGGCAAAGATGCGCGCTGTTCTGCGTCGGGCGAGCTGGGCGTCGGAAATTCGGGAATAGGGGGGGAACGCGGCCGCGCTCAATCGAGGGGGGGAAGGCGATCATCATTGACGAACGCAACCCGCCTTGGGCGCGGTCGCTGGCCATCTTGTCCGATAAGGGCCGGTGCCGGCGTTTCCCAGTATAGTCGAGTACGAATATAAGTCACACCATTCGGTAACCGCGCATTGTAATTGCACCCGCCCTGAGTCTTGATATCTTGTATAACAGTATGGTCGCCAAGATTCATCGTCACCCTTCTCGCGACACGGTCCAATTCAGGAACATTCTTAGGAGACTGAACGTAAGTTCGAGCTCCTTTATCCACCCTTGCGTTGATACCAAGGTGTACAGCACTTGTATGGCTTCTCTTGGTTTTATACAAATCCATTTGGTCAATCAGTCTTGCAGCCGTGATAGCAAGTGATTTGTTGCGCCATTCTGCCCTCTGAGCACCTTGTCCACGCCAATCCAGTTCATGCTCAGCAAGGTGTGCGGATTTCCCTGCAGCTTGGCACGTGCATCTCCGCAGGTTAGTTGGGATGCGCGTGTAGGTGGTTGCCACCTGCAGATAGGATCCGCTGGGCAGTTTGCTTGAACGGTCGAGCTTCAGACCGAAGCGGCAGCATCCCATACGCGCGACCTGCAAGCCTAAATCTTCGATGGTGTCTCGCACAGGGCCCTGCTTCCAGAAGTGACCTGGAGGTCCCGCAAGTACCATAGACATACGTGAAGCCCCAGCCTCGGTCATCAGATTTTGGATACGCTGGTAAAGTGGCCCCGCCCGCTTTCCAGGCAACCGAACGTACCAGTCAGCGGGCGTTGCCACCGACAGTAATTGGTAATCCCCCGAGAGTAATCCACCCAAATACTGTGTACCTGTAGAGATCATAACCTCTACATGCATGATACGGTCACACATGTACCCGCGAGCTCGGAATTCAGCGCAAGCTGCTCTTATGTCTTCGATAACGAGTGCACGAGAATGATAATGATGTGACGAGCGTTCATTTGCTGCAGCGGCCACGCAGCCGGGTCCACTGCTGTCTCTGGCGGCCTCATGGCCAGGCTCGCCAATATCCCTGGCGCGCGCAGCCGGCGCCTGGGAAAAGTACGCAGGTTTCCCCGCGCCTGGCGACAGAACCTCAGTGTTCGGCCTGTCGGAGCAAGCGCGAGTGGCCGTGGCACGCGCTTGCCCCCGTCAGTGATTTTCAAGCGATGGGGGCGTCCAAATGCCCGTGCCACGCTGCGCTGCTGAACCGCTGCTCGCTCAGCGGCATCATCTGCTCCTGCCGGTGTCCCTGCATTCACTCCAGCAGGTGTCCCTGCCATCGAGTCGGGCGGCATCCACTTGCTGCCCTCCTCGTATATGGCCTGATACACCTTCGCCTGCAAATTGCGCAAGGCGAGGTCCTGATCGGCCGGTGTAGGGGCATTCCCATAGGATGTGTTCCTGCGATGCCAAGTCTTCAGGGTGTTGTTCACCAAAGACTGGATCGTGAAAGCAAGCGTCTCTTCATTAATGGAGAAGCACATGCCCTTGGTGTCCTGAGACATCATATATGCATGGGCATCGTTTGTAGCAGGTGTCCCCGCACTGCTCGACGCAGGTTGCCCTGCGGTTTGTTCTGTATCAGCTGCCTCCTAGACAAGTAGCGGGACATCTTCGCAGTGAGGATTGGTCGTTATAGTAAATGCCATTGGGCCTTTTTATCCTCCGTTGCGACTCCGTACTCGTCGACCTTGATCGCCAAGTGCCCCGAAGGCGTTTTCATTAAATCAAGTACTCGGGCGCCTTTCCCAAGGAGGAGCTTGTACATCTCAGAGCCTGGAATGATCATCTTCTCATGCCCCTGCTCCTGGATCAGGATGGTCCTCATATTGGACATACTCCTCATACCCAGAATAAAAGTGAGATTCTCGCCGGAACCTTCAGCCACGTTAGCTGAATAGGTGCCTCCTCCCGCTCCTCACAGTCCCAGGCCGTGACAAGTTCACATATCCTCTAAAGTAGTTACCCACACATGGTTTGAACATGAGGTACAACAACAAGCGTCAAATAACGCATGTCGAACAGAGATGCATTACCAACAATGGCACGCCCGTGCAGTGCAATGCGAACCAATGCAAAGAAGTGAAGCGAATGGAGTGTCCACACTGGCACTGCAATGCAACGCAGTGCCATGGAAACCAAATGCGAGCACCATGCAGCGAGAAGCATTGAAAGCAAAAACTCGCAAAGCAAATGAAAGGCAGGGCAATATAATGCAGTACGCATAATGCAAAGCAAAGCAATGCTCACCAGCACAACGTGGTTTGCGGAGACATGCCAGCGCACACCTGTCTGAAAGCAGCCAAGTGAAATACAATGCAATACAATGCACAATAATGCAAGAAGACAGACGAGACCGAGGGCTCCAGAACCTCAGAGATCCCAGGGATAAGGTGTACTAAATAAGTGGTGGATGCCCCTATTGCGCCGTCGATAAGCCTCCACATGACGCTAGCGCACCAGCTCGCCCTTTTCCTCGCCCCCCCTCCCCCTCCTCCCTCCCGCAATCGATCTCCTGACCGGTCGGCTGGTCCCGGTGGGGGACCTCAGCCAACGCATGTTCTCAGGTGGCGAAACGTCACAGTCACGGTGGCCGATCGTGGCCTGGCTCAGTTGTTTCGGCAGATGGCGCTGCCCAGGTTATCGATATCGGTTCCTCCTTCGTACGACGTACGAGGGGAAGCCGAGCAGAGAAAACGCACAGAGCAAAGGCTACGGTGGGACCTCAGCCAAGTCAGATGGCAACATGTTGCGGTGGCGCCGGCCGCTCGTGGCCTGGCTCCTCCACTTCGGCAGCAGGCGCTGCGCAAACTCTTCAAGCGCGGGCACTCGGTGCGCTCCTCTCTGAACTGCTGAGGCTCGCGTCGGAGACAAAGCTGCTATGGGGGAGCTAAAAGAATGGCATGAGCATACAAACTCGGAGGTCCGCGCGGATTTCTCGGATCCGCGCTGGAGCCCCCTGGCGGCGCCTCCGGCGCCGCCCTTGGTGCGCTCCGCGCGCCAGTGAGGGGGGTCCAGCGCCGATCCGAGAAATCTGCGCGTACCTCTGTGTTTTTCCCTACCTAGGCTCTGCCTAAAAAGAGGTTCTTACTCTCTTTGCTTGAAGGGGCCGGGCAGTGCTAATCGCCCCCGGGCGGTTCCCCCGGTCCCCTGGGAGCGGTTCCCCGAGTCCCCTGGGAGCATTAGCTTTAACTTTAGCTTTAGCTTTAGCTTAGCTCTAGCGTAGCTTTAGCTTAGCTTTAGCTTAGCTTTAGCTCAGCTTTAGCTTAGCTTTAGCTCAGCTTTAGCTTAGCTTTAGCTTAGATTTAGCTTAGCTTTACCTCAGCTTTAGCTTAGCTTTAGCTCAGACGTAGCTTAGATGTAGCTTAGTTTGAGCTTAGATGTATGTTAGCTTTAGTTTATATTTAACTTAGCTTTACCTTAGATTATCGTAGCTTTAGCTTAGCTTTAGCTTGGCTTTATCTCAGTTTTAGCTTAGATTTAAGTTAGGTTTAGCTTAGTTTTAGCTTAGCTTTAGCTTAGCTTTAGCTTAGCTTTAGCTTAGCTTTAGCTTAGCTTTAGCTTAGCTTTAGCTTAGCTTTACTGTTAATACTAATGCTGCTTTCCTAAGGGCTCCAACTCCTAGGTAAGGTCGCACTGGGATAATTATGTTTATGGCATTCTTCGTTCCCCCATGTTAACTAATCGGGTCCAACTCAAGTCACGCCCACTCGGCCGGGATGCTCATCTGCACCGAGCTTCTGGCTGTGCTCGGGGCTCCCCGCTGCGTACTTCTGGCCGTGGCAGGGACCTGGTGCGCGCTGCTGGCCGTGATCAAGACGTCTCCGAGCGCGGGCAATCCGTGCCTCCCCTGGCAGATGTGCTTCAGCTCGGCAAGGTCCTGTCTGATCAGCGCCTGCAGCTTGATGACGCGTGTGATCTCCAGGGACTGGTTGTTGCACGTCAGCCGCGTCATTCCGTCCAGGAACTCCTCTATTGTCACCTCCATTGAGCCATCCACGTCCAGAGCTTCGAAGAGATCATAGAGAGAGTCCACATTGAGTAGCCTCTCCAATTCGCTCTGAACATCCTCGGGAGCAGCATTCAACTCCTCAAGGGTGACACAGCCACTGTCATCCAGATCCAACTCCTCGAACATTTTCCTCAGTTGCGGCACCAGTGCCGACATGCGCTGCTCGTTATACATCTTGCGCGTTTCCTGGTCGCGCTTTGCGTGGTCCAAGAACACCTCGATGACCACGGCGGTCACCAGGTTCATGAGGATGACGGACACCACCAGGAGGAAGGGCAGAAAGAAGAACATGAGCCAGACGTTTTCCCTGATCATCGGCGTGTATATGGTCGCCACACTGTCCATGGTCACAAACTGCACGAGCGTCAGCATGATCATAGGCAGCGTGGCAAAATAGTTGTCCACCATCTCTTGGGACGCCGCCCCGCTGATGCTTGCCATCACCTCCACGCCCAGACACGCGAACACGAAAAGGGCCAGTAGGAGGACAAAGAATACGTTCATGATCGTGGGCAGCGACGAGAAGAGCCCGGATATTAGCATCCAAAGGGTGCGAAACTGCACAAATAGGCGGAGCGCCCGGGCGAGACGTGCCAAGCGGAAGATACGAAGGAACATCGCGCTCGGCACTAGCTTCTCAATGGCGTCCCCGGCAATCAGTATGATGATGGGCACAATCCACGACCCAAGAACACCAACACATACAAGGGCCAAATCGAACCTCACCCACGAGTTCCGCAAACACTCTCGACCACAAGCAACAATGCGAAAAATGAGCTCCAACAAGTAGATGCTGAGAAACACATTCTCCGCGATCCCGAACGCCAGCCGCGACGCTGGAGTTTCATCCTCCTCCGTCGGAGTGACTGTGAGCTCAACGGCAATCATCATCGCATTGAGCACGATCACCGTGCCCATGCTGATGTCGAACTTCGGGTGTGCCAGCAGAGCGAAACAACACCCACGCACCCAAGCACCAGTACCACCAACGCTGCCGTGAAGCTTGTTCATGTGCCGATTGATAGCAAGTTGCCGAGCGATTCCGTCATCCCACTCGTCGGATTCGCATTCCTGTGCACCAAGCCTCTCCAGAACTACGTTTTTGTGGTCGAGGAGTGAAAAGCGCTTCGTCTTGGACGCCTTGAGCATGCCACTAGACCTTGGTCCCGCACGGGTACGATGCTGCTGGCTGCTGGGGTTGGAAGCGGGGGGTTCGCACTCCCCTCGAGGGCAGGTGGTCACCTCTAACGGCAACTCGCTGACCCGGGGGACCTCCGAGTTGACAGAGGGACCCGGCTCCAATGGCGGACCGTGCTCCGATGGTGAAAGCAGCCTCACCGATCTCGGGGACGGGGCCGCAGGCGCCTGGGTGTACTTCGTGATGGCAGCGGGGCCGACGTTCGAGCGTCCGAGCTGGTCCAGCCTCTTGAGCACCTGGTGCTGGTGCTCCGCCTGCGTGCTGGCGATCTGTCGCAAGAGCTGGAGCACCTCCTCGGTAAAACTAACATTCCTGTCTTCGACACACCCTGCCGGCGTGGATGGTTGGCATGTCACTGCCGTTGCTGCCAACTCTGGGAGCCTGGTGCCATTCCCGGGCGTCGGCATGCTGGTGCCGATCTCCTTGGACCCCTTCCTGAGCTGCGGCAAGGGTGGAACGGCGAGGACGGCCACCAGGGCCGATCAGAGCGACTGCTTGAGCCGACATGGGCACTGAGGGTTTAACCAAAATGGCTGCGGACTCTCCTGGAGCGCTCTTGAGCTGAATTCGGGGTCTTCTGGAGCGTCTCGGGGCCCTGTCGGGGGCCTCTTGGGCCGTCTTGAAAAGTTTTGGGGGGTTCTTGGGCTGTCCTGGAAAATCCCACCAGCCCTCTGGGTGCAAGTGGTCTAGGGCGTTTCCCTTTCCAACCTCCTTCCTTTCCCTGCTCGGGAGGTTTACCTCCCCCCCCCCTCCCTGGGTCTGGACGGGCCCCCTCGCGATGTGTCAGAGCGTCCTTTTTGGCCCAAGATAGCTCCAAGAGGGCGTTAGATGGCCCAAGATGGCCTCCAAGATCGCCCAAGATACCTCAAGATGGCTCAAGACAGCTTCCGACACACATCCAAGAGGTCTCAAGGCGGCCCAAACTCGGTTTCAAGTGCCCTCCGAGCCCTCTAAGGACCCCCCAAGAGGTCGAAATCCTTCACAAACCTAAAGAAATTCAATGTGTTTGGCCTTATCGTTTTTTCGCCTCCGATGGGCTCTTGGGACCTCAATATGACCCTAAAACGGCCGAAGATAACCCCAATAGGGGCACAAGAGGCCCCCCAAACTGCCCCAAGAGCGTCTGGTGCCTAACTCACCCAGTGGCAAACTCATCCGGTGCCAAACTCATCCGGTGCCTAACTCATCCAGTGCCAAACTCATCCGGTACCTAGCTGATCCTTCCCCCGTTGACCCAAAGCCTCACCTGGCTGACGCCTGACTCACCCAGCCCTGAAATCACCCAGTGGCAAACTCATTCGGTTCCTAACTCATCCGTTGACTAATTCATCCGGTGTAACTCATCCGGTGACTAAATCATCCAGGCTAACTCATCCTGTGACTAACTCATCCGGTCGCGTTTCACCCGGACCGCGGATCGGATGAGTCGTATCGGATGAGTTGCCATCGGATGAAACAACCTATCTCCCGACACGCGTCGAGTGGGCGCCTTGCGCACAGCCAGAGTAGAAGCGGGAGGGAGGGTGGAAGGGAGCCCTGCATGCGCCTGGAGAGCGCGAAGGTCAGGCCTCTGCATTTCGAGGCGTTCCTTCCCGTCGCGGAGCTCTCGTTGAGACCGTGGGGTGCGACGCGCGTTGAGTGGGCGCCTCGCGAACAGCCAGAGTAGAACTGCGTCGTGCGCACAAGTAGTCAGAGGACACGTGGGGGACATTGAATCCAC